ATTATCAGCTCTATACTTTGAGAGGAATTCAGGGTTCTGAAGCATCTGCCTCAGCATGCCTTTTTTTTATCATATTCATTAGCATTTCTTAGAATTTGTCAATGTGAGTGAATACGTATGAAAATCACCAATATATGTCATTGATAGTTTTTTGTGTATATTTTGCAAAAAAATATTACGATTTCTACAGAACATGCTTAATATCGAAAACATTCTTAATTTTATGCAATTATCATTCATACTGAGATTAAGAGAATTGTCTTATCCTAAAAACATTTTTCGCAGATATTACGAAGCTTTTGCCTCCACAAAAACAAAAATGATTGATATAGAAGAATGAAACAAAGTTTCACGAGTATAAATGTTTTAATATCTGACAAGGACGTCATTTGAAAATAATTTCTCTTAAAAAAAAACATGATCTTTTAGTTTTTGATAACGAATTCAATTATTTAGTTTTTTAATAAAACGAGAAGTTTCTATTAAAAAATCTCAAGTTTTCATATCAAGATCAACAACATAAAACACTATCTTTCGATTCATTGATAAAGCTTTCACTTGAACCATTATCAACATAAAGTTTTACAACAATTTCACGAAGTAGACTTGAAAATCTCTTTGTTTATTTCTTCCTGCAAAGAATTTCAAATTTCTTTATATGAAAAAGAAGATCAGAAATAAAAATTATTTTTCTATAGTTACTACTAGCATCTTTTTTCATTTAAAGTTTCGATGCAAAAACAATGATGAACTGACAATTTCAACTTAAGTGTATTATCTAGTCGCTTTCTCTTCAATTTTAAGTTCTTTTCTGTTTATACAGACAGAAATCATCTACTCCGACAACGTTTCTTCTGCCTATAATTCAGCAACCAGACACGAGATATGAATTGTCCTTATACATTACAATTGAACAACGAGAGAAATGAACGTAACCGTCAATCACATATCGTTTTAAAGATAAATTTAATCAAAGAGATATGTGTACAGACGAAGAATATGCCCTGTCCTGATACACATACGATTTGTTTTCTTCAATACTTCAACTCTATCATAATTGACATATGCATAACTTAATAAAAACAGTTCCGTGAGTTGTCAGAATAGTCATCATGGAAATGATTCGAATAATCAGAAAATTACATATCCCAATAACACCTATTTCAATTAGTAATCTGTTTGTACGTCATTAATCTAAATTTTATTTGAAGATTTGGAACAATATTCATTCTAATCATAAACAGATGATGTCCAAAAATGAAGTGTACTTCTGGGCATCCAGCAACCATTGATAGTTTGAGCTTGTAAAAAAAATTCAATTTAACCAACATACTTTGTATTCATATTGTTTTCGAAAAACTTGTATGATTGTTTCTATTAATATTTATGAAAGTCCTTTTTTTTAAATGTTAACTTGAATACTATCTCCATTTAATCTATTATATAAGGAACCTTTGTTTTTTTTTGGTTCGACCGAAATTTCTTTTATTGTCGGAAGTATTTCAAAAAAAAAGGACGTGATTTAATACATCATATATAAGATGATGTTAAATAAAAAATACTAATGCTAAAAACTGATTTTTGGAACAAGAACGATTTTTGTCGGGGCTGAATTGTCTTTTTTTATTTTGTGGAATTTATCGATAGATATATACGGCGAACATAGTAATAGAAAGAGTTGTTTAAAAATTTCAAAAGCAAGATCCGATTATAGACGCAAAGAAAATTTTCTGTTTTTTTGAAATACCATTTCCAAAAAGAATCATTATTGATGTTGATGTAAACATGTATCTGCTATCATCATGAGTATATTTAAAAAAAAGAAAATGGTTATTTAAATCTATATTCAATTCTATAAAAGCTATTCACATATTTGAACTTGCTCCAACTATCTTCACCATAGTCGAAACAAAACTAAGTCATGATGAATTTATTCGTTGTATTAGTGCTTTCACTGATAGAAATTTTTTTTTGTCTTTCGTACTTTTACAATGTCATGATTCGATCAAATTCTTTTTCCAGATTAGATTCTAAAAACAGAACTCCACAACATGAAAAGAAAGAAAAAAAATTGAAAAAAACTGTCATCAAAACAACAAAAAAACGTGTTTATTGAAGAACAAAGCAAAAGCATACATTCTTTTTTTCTTTCGTTTGTCACCGACTTCTCAAGGATGTTTTATATTCTTGGTATACAAAATTTTTTTTATCAGAGACGAAAACAAAAACAAACAAAAGTTGAAAGAACATAAGGTTTAAGTTTTGTCAGATACGTTTCTAGATACTGTATATAAATCGACATAAAAAATCAATGTCGTTATTTCAATTTAGGTTTATCTGACTGAAACAGATACAAAATAAATAATTTAATTTTTAATCTAGAAGATAGTATCATATTATTTCTCTGTTGAAGTTATGTAAAAAATTGGAATTTATTCAACGAAAAGAAAATCATTTTATCAATTTTCTGTCGTTTACTTGGCAAAAAAATAGCTATATTACTATCATCGTTGAAGAATCTAACTTTTCAGTGTAATCTCAATAACTTGATAACAGCAATAGCCAGTGTTGCTTGTGCCTTTCACAACAATTAAACTAAGAGAACTCTATTAGAAGTCTTTTCATCTGATACTATTAAAGAGAAAATTATTTTGAAATCTATACTCCTTGCAAAAAATTCAAAAACATATATGAAGATGTTATTTAATTTCAAGTAAATTTTGATGATGAGAAAATTGTGAGAAGTTAATCATCTGAACCGTAACTAGAACTGTGAAACTGAAGCAGATGTCAAAAATTGAACTTACATCAAAGTGGAATATCTTTAGGTTTTTTTGAAATGTTTTACGAAAACGATTTGTTTTAGAAATCATCTTACAGTACAAAGTGTCAGATGAGTTATTGAAAATACAGAAATGTCTCCTTTTTCTTAGCCAGAAATTCGATATTAGGTTTAACTCAAAAACGTAAACCATATCGTTGATTAAGGTCATCAGAAGTCAAGAATGCCTTGTACAGGGTGTGAGTGTGATAGAGAATAAAATTATGTTTAATTCTTAACCTTCAAATTTTATAAACAAACAATGCCTTTTAATGTTTTATTTTATAAAAGTCAATCAAAACACAAACAAAGTGTTGGCCAAGTTGTTAAACCTAAATAAAAAACCTATCGAATAAAATACATTAAAATTGAAGTATCACATCGATTAACATTGATATTAATATCATCCCAAGATAATATTTAAAGATAAAATGAAAGCTTTTTCATAAATTACCTATATGATCATTTAATTTTTTATAATTTTTTTAATATTTTAGAACTGAAATGAAGATCTTATTGTGAATATAATAAATAACTATTAAAAATAAAACTCGATCAAAACCATATTTGTAATATTCAATTGTAACCTTCAAAAAAAAATATGTTAATGTTAATCGAAATAAGATGCGAAAAAATGATTTCATAATCCTAAAAAGAAGTAGCAACAATATCAAATTACTAATCATTTCAATAAAAAAAATTTTTTGATTATAAGTTTGTTGACATTAAAGAGCAAATTATTTTTTCAAATAGAAATTCAATTATTCACATAAAATATCTATGAAATTTGTTAATTAGATTTTCCTTATCTAATAAAATTTTTTTTAAAGTTTAAATAATTTAAGAATTGTTTCATGAAAATATAAAGAAAAATATTTATACTTTTTATTTTCTTATGGCATATTAATATTAAAGCTCATTTAATAACAGAAAGTCTGATAAGTATCTTTCGAATAACTTTTGTTCTTTTAGAACATCAATGTTAATATAACCATAACATATCATCATAAAGTATAAAAAAGAATACATTTAAAACTTTTCTTTTTTTTCTATTCTTTATCTCTATTTCAAGATATGCACTGCATGAGTTATTACTCAAATTGACGGCGAATGTATTGTTTTTATCTGTCGTTTCATTCAATCATCCTCTGTTTGTTAGAATGGCGAGTGCACGACATTCAAGTTATCCTTACACATTCGAGATGAAAACTCAGACGAATTGAACATGAAATGTTTAAAGACGACAAAGATATCGTGCACTCAATATTACTTTACTTGACAAACACCGGTTGTTATCATGCGCTGCGTATTATCATTCCGTGACGTCTTTTTTTATCGCGTCTTTCCGTTTCTACTTCTTCTCGTTCTTCCTAACAGAAGAATAAAAATAATTTTCTAACTAATGGAGCTTTTGAGGGTGGCTCTAAAACAAATCAACCTTCTCAGGGATATCCGACGTTTTGTTGGTGACCCGTGCAGGCGTGCAGATGGTACGCCTTCATAACATACGTCAATGTATGAATAGAAGCGTCCATTTCGTCATCGTCTTTTCGAAGATTATGATCATGGTTGTACTATTCATATATACTTCGATGTATGTTTGCCTAACCATTTCCGGCTTTGTCCACTGTACGAGCCAGCAGAATACGGAGGGTATCTCTGGTCGCGCGTGCGCGAAATTTTGCAACTGCTTGCTTCGGCGAGCTTGGATTTCGAGATGGCCTATTTATTTTCTCTTTAAAAAATAAAAGAAGTTACACTTTCTTTTTCACTCGTTCAATGTTTCTTTTCGATTGTGCGATATGTGGATGATTTGATGGCAATGTTTTGCGATCAATTTCATGTGCTTTTTCAAGAAATGAAAGTGCTTTTGAGTACTCGCCCATGTTATCATACACATTACCGATGTTGTTGTAGGAAGCAGCCAAGTCGGGATGATTCGGAGGAAGAGCTATTTTCTGGATTTCAAGTGATCGTTCATACGATGAAAGTGCTTTCGAGTACGCGCCCATGTTATAATATACCAACCCGATGTTGTTGTAGGAAGCAGCCAAGTCGGGATGATTCGGAGGGAGAGCTATTTTCTTGATTTCAAGTGATCGTTCGTACGATGAAAGTGCTTTTGAGTACTCGCCCATGTTATTATACACCATACCGATGTTGTTGTAGGAAGCAGCCAAATCGGGATGATTCGAAGGGAGTGCTATTTTCTTGATTTCCAGTGATCGTTCATACGATGAAAGTGCTTTCGAGTACTCGCCCATGTTATTATACACCAACCCGATGTTGTTATAGCAACTAGCCAATTCGGGATGATTTGGAGGGAGCGTTTTTTCTAGCATGTTTAGTGCTTTTTCATGGGATGAAAGTGCTTTTGGATACTCTCGCATATTAGAATACACTAAACCAATGTTGTCGTATGAATAAGCCAAGTCGGGATGATTCGGAGGGAGAGCTATTTTACGGATTTCAAGTGATCGTTCATACGATGAAAGTGCTTTCGAGTACTCGCCCATGTTTCTATACACCGCACCGATGTTGTTGTAGGGAGCAGCCAAGTCGGGATGATTCGGAGGGAGAGCTATTTTCTGGATTTCAAGTGATCGTTCGTACGATGAAAGTGCTTTAGAGTGCTCGCTTATGTTATTATACACCCCACCGATGTTGTTGTAGGAAGTAGCCAAGTCGGGATGATTCGGAGGGAGAGCTATTTTCTGGATTTCAAGTGATCGTTCGTGCGATGAAAGTGCTTTCGAGTACTCGCCCATGTTATAATACACCAAGCCGATGTTGTTGTAGGACCAAGCCAAACTGAGATCATTTGGAGAGAGAATTTTCTTGCAAATATCCAGTGATTTTTCGTAATATAAAAGTGCTTTTGAATACTCGCCCATATCATCATACACCCAGCCAAGTTGATGATTATATTCCGCTCGACCTTGATCAGAAGACGCCTTTGCGAGTAGAATTTGATAGAGTTGTTCAGCTTTTGCAGGTTCGCCCACTTTAATAAGTATGAAACCAAGTCGAGACAATCCCGTGCGACCACCAAGATCCTTACGTATGTGTGCTGTAAGTGTGTTCAATTCATGATTGTCATTACCGACAATAGTGAGATTAACTTCGTATAGCCGATCAGAGTGATTGTCGGGAATTCGTTCAATGCGATCGATACGAAAAATCGCATGTGTTGAAAATAGTATTTCTTCCTCTTTATCTTTGTAGTAGCCAACTTTGCTTACTTCAGCAAATGGTGTTGAGGATTTCGTGCAAATAGCCGTGTCAATGTTCATAATGAAAAGGATGCCAACTGAATTTGTATTAAATGCTGCTGGTCGTGCAAAGTTATTCAGTGAAATCTCGCGATTGCGACTTGTCGACAGAAAATTATTGAAGGACATAAGTCCTCCTTTGGTTTTTTTCATTTTTTCAAAATCTTCCATGGACAAACCCTGTCCACGGAAGACTTGAAAATTTGTTGGCATGCTGCCTTTTTGTTCGCCATGTAATTCGGTAATATGTTGATGTAAATGCCGGATGAAAAATCCCATTTTAAGGATGATGTCAACATCCATTTGTCGGAGTCCCCGATTCAGCATTGGATATATAAATGTTTCAGCCGTATACCACCATATTGGTGTATGATCACGATATTCACGTTCAACAAGTTTAATTTGATCTTCATCAACATCGTTTTGCAGACGACAGTAATCTACGAGATCTTTAATTGATTTGACATCGTCATCTTCAATTTCCAAAAGGGCTTCTTTTAAAAGTTGTGTATACATAAATAATGCATCACGACCATTAAAGCTGATCGGGATCATAGCTTGATCACATCGTTGTCGATCGATTTCAAGTGCTTGACAAATTGGTTCTATTTTTGTGTATACACCCTTAACCTTGCTTATTTTTTTAGCCCATTGTTCATGAACCGATTGGTTACCACAAAACACATAAATTGCTTCCAGTTGTGGCAATGCTTCGATTTCTGGTACTATCTGACGACCCAAAGAACCGGATACAATCATAAATACCTTTTCTTTTTTGATTTCACTTAGGAAATTAACGCATTGTTGGGCATCCGTAAACGTTGTGATGGATGCCACAATTTTTCGCAGATGTTGCAATGAATTTTTAAAATCCTTATCTGATTCTTGCAAATTGGCATCGAGCCATACCAAAAGGAAATTTTGAAGAATCCGACGAACAGGTCGGGGCAGCACAGCACCACGATTGATGGTAGTAGTCATCGCTGCTGTTTCACTAGCAGCAGTTTTTGTCGGTTTTTGTTTGTCCATGATCAATGGATGAAGAAATGAATGCAATAAGTGAGACGTTGTCACCCTATATTTATAAAGCTTTTTATTCTTTTTGTCAACACTTTTTCAGTCTTGCTGCTATGGGCTTCAAAAGCTTCTTCTCTCGATCGTTGGTTTTTTTTAGGAGTGTGTTGCGGATGAAAGAACGATGAATAGTGGGTGGAGTCTCCCTGTATCAAAAAGAAGAGACAAGGAAGAACAAAAACGAAATGAGTAACAATGAATAAATTGTCGTCATTCATAGAAAAGAAAAAAAACCAAACATGATTAATAGAATTTCAAAATATTATTGGTTGTTCTGATTGTTGTTGGGTTAGTTGTCAAGCTATTTTCCCCATATAGTAGGTAAGGTATTACTTATGTGTGCTCAGATAGACGCATAGAAAGAGGAGAACGAAGAGACAACAATAACTCGCACCAGTGTTTTGTTCGTTTCATTCGTTGAAGGCAACAAAATTCAAAAGCAAACTGCACGAAAAAGGATTATTCATAGATTGTTTGTTGGTTTTGTCGTAGGACGATGTCATCAAATATACAACTGACTGTCTTGTTTCATATAATAATGAAAAAAACTGATTTCGTTTTCATATATCATTTAATACATATTTTATTAATCTTTTATTATTATTGCAACTGAAATAGATCGATTTGAACAAAAAGATACTACATATACATAGAACTATAAAGCAGTAGTACGATAAAAATAAAAGGTGACAAGTTTGAAAAGAAAATGCTAATTTAGATATTGATTTTTCTAAGACTTTTTTGTATGTCAACGAATTTTTTTATATAATTCCATGGTAATGATGATGAATAAATGTTTCTTTTTTCTAATAATCACTTTTATTTTTATTTCTGTGTATAAATAGACTTATTTAATTAATATGCATTCGTGATTACAAAAGTAAAATTGATTTAGTTTTTATTAGAATGAAGTAGTAGATGACAAAGCTTGCATAATCAAAAAATTAATAATGAATTTTATTCACTATTGAAATATTGATTTGCCAATAAATATAACGATGATTGTTTTACATACTGCAAATAATGTAAAGTATCTGCACATAGTCAATCATCTAATGTTTATCGATAAATACTCGAAAAAAATGGATCCTTATTGAGGTTAATTTTTCTTTATTTTTTAATACTATCATAATGAACAATAATAAATGGTGATATTGTAATCTTTATAAATAATGAAGAAAGTAACGAGTAATTTCAACTTAAAATCTTGTATTATCGAACTAAATGAATAAATGCACGGTCATTAGTAGATTTCAATTTTTTGTAATTCATTTTCATCTCCTTTTATAAATATTTGTTGCTGGGAGTAAGTGCGTTTGTAGATAAAGAGAACACTAGTACTCATATTCACACTCCACACTGTCAAGCTGGATCCAACCCGACAAAATTGAATCTGAGCCTGATCCAAGCGCGAAAACTTCCTTCGTGTATATACTCTCGATTAGCCATTTTCTTCGGATAGGATTTTCTGGAAACAAAGAAATTATCGCAATGGCATCCTGAGAACCTCCGTAATTCTAAAACGATGTCAGAATTTTTTATTCTCGACACAGTCATAGTGAATTCTTTAAAAATGACATAGATTATTAATTCAGCATTGTATCATACATTCTAGAAAAACTTCCTTTTCCTCGGATTCCTATAAGAGGTTCTGAGTTTGTCAATAGATAAAATTTTTTACAAGTTTCTGACAACAGGTTTCCAAGATCTCAGAAATCTATCGACAACCGTCAAAAGCAATTGAAAAAACTCAAGGTTTCGAAAAGTCAGCGGGATATTTACAGAACTTCAAAAATCACTTAAAGTTAGTCTAAACAGTATTCAGACACTTAAGGTACATGCAAATCGCATGAACTTTTCAAAATATTCTTGGAGTATAGCGGAGAGACTATGGTATAGTTTTCAGCCCAATAGAGTTGCATTTGTGAGAGATATTTAACAAACAATAGTCAAAAACAGCTCATCTTGTAATTCGAAATTCTTTGTAAGCCTTGATTCTGTGTATTCATCTTTTACTGTTTGAAAGATTGTGTTAGAATCTAGGGCAGAACAGTACCTTTCTCTTGAAAATCTTCCTTTGAAATCGGAAAAAGACCTACTGTTTTCTCAATTTTTTTCGGGTTTTGAACTTTTCATCACTAGAAGATGAGCTATTTTGGACCATTATTTGGTGAATATCTCTTAAATGCAACTCTACTGAGCTGAAAACGATAGCATAGTCTCTCCGCTACAATCCAAGAATATCTTGAAAAATTCGTGCGATTTACATGTATATGAACCAAAATTACTCTTCTGGTAGGATGAACGGTCTCAAGTGTTTGAATTCACTCTATAGGTTTTCGGATGCTATTCAACAAAAGAATTGAGGACGTAATCGATTTTAGTCAACGCATTACTCATCTCACTTGGAGTCAGTCATAATATCTGAGTCCTCAAGTCTTTCAGTTTCTTGAACAGAGTGTTGAAGTGCAGTCATAGTCTTGCAGTCCTGATGTCTTTAAGTTGTTTAAATGCAGAGTTTTGAAATCAGCCATACTCGTCAACACCTGAAGTTTTTAAGTCTATTAACTGAAAAGTGAGATCTTTATATTGTAAAAGTTCCGTAAGGGTTAATGTTAGTTTCTTCAATACAGTCAAAGTTTTCGAGTCTCGAAGTCTGAAGAATCTACGTTATTGTTGTAAGTTGAAGTTCTGAACTCTATGATTTGTTTACCATTCTAGTTTAATTTCTTTCTTGATGTACGTTTGGAAATATTTCTTGTTAGTAGATTCAGGACTTACATGTTGGAGTGTGAAGAAGTTAATGTCGAACGTGAACAAAATCATCTAAGACATTCTATTTTATCTTTTAATTTAAAAAAACAAACCAAACTTTTCTCGATATTGGTAAAAGCAAGTAGCCCTTCAATTATACAAAGAGATATGTCTAGTAAGAAACACTAAAGAATTTCTGTCTCAGTAGAATGAATATCTATTTTGTAAAATCTGTATATCAGAAAGATGCTATCCTAGATTTGTACTTGAAAACTATTAGCAAACAAATGAATATAGGAGAAGAAAGTAAAACAAAAGAAATTTAAAAGTTCAAAATTTACACTGCTCTATTTTCTATCTATTCACAAGGGTAAGAAGTGGGAAATTCAAAACTTAAGCAGAAAACTATCTTTCTCTTTTCTATCAATGAAAGCAATCTTACAGGTATGAAAATTTGTTTTCGTCGAAACAAATTCAACAAAAAGAAATAAATTTTTCGAAAACATGCAAAAACTAAAGAAAAATTTGAATCTTATACGAAATACTCGCGTTTATTGTAACTTTTCGTGTTCAAGGGTGTAAAAATCTCAATTAGCCGTTTTTGCGATCTTGAGTGAGTTGTGTCTTCTCAAAATAGTAGTATCATGAAACGGCTTTCTACGTAATGGCAAACTTATCAAGTACTATTGTATGAGCAATGAAAAAGTAATTTTCAGTGGATTACATTTAGCATATTAAGGAACAAAAAGCAGAACATCCAATGAAAAAAAAACTAAGAATTCGTTATGCCGACAATCAACATTTTCGATATTAGGAGTAGAATAATAAAAACTGAGCGTGTACTTGGAAATTTTGACTACTAAGATTTCGTTTTCAAATAAAATCTATGCTATATTCGATATCAACATTACAAATCGGATCTAATGGCATAAATTTCATTAAAAAATATTTGTCATCGAAATTCAAACCCACCTTCTACTCTGATTCAGTGGATATGATTTCGTCTGAGTGTCCTTTCGGGTCAAGTTTCTATGACAAATATTTTTTTAATGAAGTCTATGTCATTCGATCCGATTTATTATGCTGGTTTCGAATATTACACACATTTTACATGAAATTCATACCCTGATAGTCTGTTTTTTATCGAATGCGCTGCTTTTTTCCCATTGGTATAAGCCATTTTTCCCATTGAATTCGATAGCTAAATTTATCGTCCTGGAAAGGACAACTACTTGTAGCGAGTGCGGAGAAATATCTTTCGTTATCGTCGAACTCGTTTTGGAAAATTTTCAGGCACTTGCTGGTAACCAGACTATCTATAGAAGCTAAATTAAAATCATATTACTAGAGTATAAAGTTATATCAAAAATATTTGAACAGAGATGGAAATCGTTCGGAAAATTTAAACCAACTCCAAGATGACGTCAGCGCCTGCTCTGGCATTAAATTCAAACAAGTACAAAACATATTTGATTAAGAGTAGAATATCGTAAATCGCCGCTAGAACAGCGATCCGCAATGTAAAACATGTTTATTAGTATATGTTTATTTCTCTGACAAGCTGTTTTGACGCCCAAAAGAAGACTCATTTTCACGACCAACATAACGCTGTTTTTGATACGAATGCAAAATAGTTCGGATATTTCAATTAATTGTCTCGATATTTCAATCTGAACCAAGACAATCTAAAACTGAACTGAATTATATTTTTT